AAACTTCCTATATGATACTTCCAAGAGGCTGATGTTAATTAGGTGTTAATAAACTCAGGGCGCATTGTCAAGGTGCCAGCCATCCCCAGGGTTGATTGTATCTTTCCTCACCCCACGCAAGTTGGCAGAGCCAAGTCTTCAATTCCCCCTGAAAAACTGGGAGGGTAGGGTCCCGCCTCACCTCTGGGGGGAGAGTATTCCATAGGGCGGGGGCAAAGGCAGAGAAGGCTCTCCTCCTGGGCCCCACCAGTCGACATTCTCTCACTGATGAGGTCCGCAACATGCCTTCTCTGCCGGACTGGGTGGGACGGGTCAATGTAGTGGGGGTGAGACGGACCCTCAGGTAACCTGGTCCCATGCCATGTAGGGCTTTAAAGGTGATAACCAACACCTTGAATTGGACCCAGAAGCAAACTAGAACCCAATGCAGCTCCCACAGCAAAGGTGTTACATGTGCCATCCTTGGGGCACCCAAGATTGCCCACGTGACCGCATTTTCAACCAGCTGTAGCTTCCGGATACTCTTTAAGGGTAGCCCCGTGTACAACGCATTGCAACAGTCTAAATGAGAGATGACCAGGGCGTGAGTGACAGACCAGAGGGACTCCTCATCCAGGAAGGGGCATAACTGGTGCACAACACGGTTGAGCAAAGGCCCTCCTGGCCATGACTGCCACCTGCTCATTGAGCAGGAGTCATGAGTCCAGGAGAATGCCCAGATTACGTACTGGATCTGTCTGGGGCAGTGCAATCCCATTGAGAACCAAAGATGGTAAACCCCCAGATACAGAGGAGCCTCCAATCCACAGCCACTCTGTTTTACCAGGGTTCAGCTGAAACCTGTTGTTCCCCATCCAGACCCCTACAGCCTCCAGGCACCATGAAAGGGTGATCACAGCATCACTCAAATCACACGGGATGGAGAAGTATAATTGGATATCATCTGCATATTAATGATACCTCATCCCATGGTGGCAGATGATCTCACCCAGCGGTTTCATGTAGATGTTAAAAAGGAGCAGAGAGCGTATCAAACCCTGCGATACCCCACAACAGAGTGGGCCGGACCTCTAGCTCCCAATCAACACCAATTGGTACCGACTTGGAGGAAGGAAATGAACCAGCACAAAACTGTGCCGCCCACTCCCAACTCCCTAAGTCAGCCCAAAAGATATCATGGTTGATGGTATCGAAAGCCGCTGAGAGGTCGAGAGAGGATGGATGTACTACCCCCATCCCGCTCCCGCCAGAGATCATCCATGAGTGTGACCAATGCTGTTTTCGTCCCACATCCGGGCCTGAAACCTGACTGAAAACGGTCCAGATAATCCGTTTCATCCAGTATCCCCTGGAGCTGCAATGCCACCACCTTCTCAACCACCTTCCCTAAAAAGGGGAGGTGGG